GGTTAGGGTTGGGGCCAGATTAATGGAGTGGTTAGGGTTAGGGCCAGAACATGGGTTGGGGCTAATTTTTTAAGGGGTTTGGGCCAAATTAGGTTTCAAGTGGGTGGGGTTAGGGCCAAATTGGTTAAGATTAGGATTAAGTTTTTGGGTGGGGCTTAATATTCCTTAAGATTTCAATTGTTTTTGATATTTAATCCATGTGGTTGTTTGGTATCTAGCCAATAGATCCAACGTCTTTCCAATTTCTTTCTCTCTAATTCCGTCCATGAAGAGTTGCTTTGGATTCCCGACACCCTGACTGATTGTAAGCCATGCGAAATAAAATGATGAACTAACGGAATGTGAACGTTTCTTTTGTTTCTCACATTAAATCTATGTTGGGTCATTCTAGTCAGGATTGAATTTTTGGTTTGTCCAATGTATTGTTTACCACATTTTGCACAAAATATGAGATAAATACAATTGGTCGTGTGCGGTGAGAAATTTTGTTTGATTTCAAAAATAGTCTTTTTAACCTTATTTCGCACAAATTTCAGTCTCACAAACATTCCTGAAAGGGTATTCTTTTTCTCAAATGGTTGTATAGATGGTAATCTTGCTCTTACAAGAATGTCTTTCAAATTTTGATGTCTCTTATATGCCGAAATGACCGAATAATCCTGTAATAGACCCGAATTTCTGATGATCAATTGGTAATTATCCTTAAATTTGTGATGTAGCCTTCCCGTCATGGTTGCAAAATCAGTAACTAATGGAATAATGTTCTTCTGTTCCCGTTGTTTAGAGATCTGGAAGGTTTTGAGACATTCTCTGAAAAAGGGTCTCGAGTACCCTCGGCTCCTTAGAGCCCTGAAGAGGATCCTTACAGCTTCCCAAAAGTCATTTTCCTTTGTACAAATCCGTTTAAATCGTATTAATTGTGATTTCACTAATCCTCTGTAGATGTGTTTGGGATGGAAACTGGTTTTGAATAATAATGCATGTGTATCAGTTTCTTTAAAATAAACTTTGATGTCCAATTTTTGGTCCGAATTGAAGGATTCCCCTTTATACACCGTCGTATCTAGAAAATGGATAGATCTTTCACCTATTTC